CGGGGCGGGCCCCAAGTGCGGTGGGCGGGTGCCCCCTTAGCCGCTGCTTATGTAATTACACCGCCCAGTGTGTAATCACCTGGCCTAATCCCTCGAGGCTAGCAATTAGCCTTGCGACGCGCAGTTCCACTAGGCTACGCTGAGGCACCCGCATGCCAAGCTCCCATCACACCCCCACCACCCCCTATTTCTGATATTCCCTCTCTTTCTTCCCTCTCCTTCCACCGCCTACCCTCGCCTTGCGTTAGACCGCAGATGAATAACGGTCAATTAAAGCTGCATGACTGGGGCTGCCAGGCGTCTGCGCCACCATAATTAGGCCTAATCACGGGGAGTGAGAGAGAGAGAGTGTCTGACACTCCCTTCCTCCATCTCTCCCTCTCTTCCTCCTTTTATAGGAGGCAATTTTGAGGGAGGAGTGGCACACAGTCGTTTTGCTCTAGGCCTGGTATGTATGTGTGTGCGCGCGCGCGACGTCTATCTTCATGTGTGTCAGTGCATTTTGTTGGTAAACCACTAACATGCTACAAAAAGACGACATCGACACTTACCTAGTTTCTGCATGAGACTGAAAACAGGCAGATTCACAAATTCAACACGGGCTCACAATCACAAAACAATATGACTGGATGCTCTCTCCCTCTCTCTCCCTCTCTCCCTCTGTCTCCCTCTGTCTCACCGCCTGCAGTGAGGCCAGGGGCTCCTGGGGAATTCACTGGTGTGTGACGACCTGTCAGAGTGGCGACAGTGGCCCTGTCCCACAGCAGCCCAGGCAATGTGTGTGTGTATGTATGTCTGTGTAAGTGTGTGTGTTTGCGTGTGACAGGGCTGCCCTTAATGACGGGAGGGGGGATTAGGAGCGTCTTGCGGCCGCCTTCGGCTCCTTCTCCGCAGGAACACATTTACACAGGAAGCTCATTAAAATGGATGAGGCTCCCCCCCCCCGCGCCATCCCTCCCCTTATCTCACACTCTCGATCCCCTCGCTCCCTATTTTGGTTCTTCTCTCTCTCCCCGTCACTTCATCCTCTCGCCATTCCCTCTCTTCTCTTTCTCTTTCCTCTCTTCACTCCACATGTTAAGCTACCGTGTTTTTCACTTCCTCTCTCCCCAGCCCTTTCTCTTCACTCTCCTCCACCCCCATTTGCCTTGCAGATGCTCGGTGAGCTTAGTGCCATTTAAGGCCAGACAAATGGAGCGCCAGGTTCTAAGCCCATCGAGCGGCCCTAATGATTTGTTTTTAACAATGGGCCTAATGGGCTCCACATAATCAATGATGAGGGGTCGATGGAAAGGTGAGCCATGGAAAGAGTTAGACAGGAGAGAGATGGTGAGTGTTAGGTATTTTTAGTCAGATAGATATTGGTTAGATACTTTATGTATTAGAAATGTTTAGTGGAGATAGGATGTCTAGTTAGACTGTTAAATGCTTAGTCATGCTTATGAGTTTCTACAGGGTACATCTGGTCAAGGATACTAGAGAGAAGAGTTGATGACTGTCAGCAGACAGGATGTTTAATATTATTATTATGACGTGTATAACTGTAGCCTTAGCCATAATATGTTCTTATGTTTAAGTCATGACATGTTACTAGAGGTCGTGTGAGAATGTTTTTAGCTACACACCACTTAATCAACAGACACACACACATTGATTTACTTCATGTTTTGACTACTGCTATGACCAGCTGCAAAGCTGGCACCAGAGACGTCTCGGTTGACGTTTCTGTGTAGTATGGGGCTAGCCCAACCGAGGGGATATAATGTACAGGCCTGGTGGGTTCAGGGTCTTTCATCTTACATCTGCCTGCGTGCAGGTTGGAGGTGCAAGATACCTGAGCGTGTAATGTTAATTTTACCTGTGATCCTTTGAATAAATCAGCACTGTTTTGAAGTTACTTGGACTGTCTCGTCTCTCAGAGTTAGCAATGGTAACAAGAACCAAAGACCAACATGAGCTTCTGTCTCTAACTCACTTCCTCAGTCTTGGCTTTTCATTCTGTTTTTTGTTTCTTCTTCTTTTACTCACCAATTATCTTGTATTTCAATTTTCTCTTCACTCGTTTGCACTTAATCCACTCTGTGGTCTCTTCTTCATTTTCTCCCCCTCTCTTTTTAGCAGGTGTACTCCTTATTTTACTCAAGTACAGTACTTAAGTGCAATTTTGGGTTCACAGTACTTGATTATTTTAATTTTCTGCTACTTCATACTTTGACTTCACTACATTTTAGAGGTAAATATTGTACTTTTTACTCCACCACATTTTATAATCAGCTACTAGATACTTTTCAGAATCAGATTAATAAAGAAAATACAATAATCATGTGCCTTTACTGATTTCTGGTGGACAATTTACAAGCTACCCAGCAGCAAATCATATTAGAAGCACATTGTATAAGCTACTTTAAACTTCCCAGCTGCAACATTTAATGTGATGCACACAATAATGCATCAGTAATTATGATATTAATAGTATGATGTACATTAAAGTTAAATGTACCATTCTGCATCATTAACTTTTACTTTTAGTTCTTTAAATATGTGTTGATGCTAATATTCTTGTATTTGTACTTAACATTTTGAATGTAGCTATTTTATCTGTAACAGAGTATTTTTACACTGTTGTATTGCTACTTTTACTGAAGTAAACAATCTGAGCACTTCTTCCACCACTGATTGTCATGTTGGAACATGAGGGGACCTTCCCCGAACTCTTGCTACTAAAGTTGGAAGCAAATCATTATCTAAAAAAATATTTTATTCAGTTGCATTAAGATTTCCCTAAATAGGAAGTTAGCTGAAAACAAAAACCAGCCCCAGACCAAAAGTATGTCTTCATTCTTCCAAACCCTATAGTGAATGTGCACGAGGTAGACGGGTGCAACATTATACAGATTTTACATTACTCTTTGTTTGCCTTTTCTTTTGGACACTGGTACAGTAATGTAAAATGGTACTTCCCCCTCAACCTCTTTTTTTTTAACTCATGCCAAAAAACATTGAGAGTGAAAGGGTTAAAGAGGAGACAGGAGGAGGTAGAGGGGGACAGACTGGGGTAGAGATGGATGGATGGATGGAGGGAGGGAGGAGGAAAAGTGAGGCTAGTTAACTCTCCCCAGTCCTGTGTGGTTAATTACTCGATGTGCTGTCGGAGAACAGCCGCGGCTCACTGACTACATTCACACTGCACCACTGGCCCCTCTCTCTCTCTCTCTCTCTCTCTCTCACACACACACACACACACACACACACACACCCATTAGCAGACATATTCACACAAACAAACCCAAATTCAATCCACATAGATGAGCACACATGCAGACTGCCAGCTTGAAAAATGAAACAAGCACACCCTTGCTTGCCTCAACACACACACAAACACAGACACACAACATACACCCCCACAGCCTCCCAGAGCTGCACCACAGCGCCTGGCCGCTTCCTGCATATATCCCCACCCATTCCCTCTCTCCCACCCACACACACACCCACACACACACACACACACACGCACACACATCCTCCGCCCCTACTGCCGCACTGCCGGCCCATTATCGATCCCCCGCTTCTCCCTGCGCCACATAAATAATCGACAAGCAATTACCCGCCCACTCCCGCTGCCCCCGGCTTTGTTTGGGCGGCACAGGGGCCAGCACTGGGGGGAGTGGAGCGGGGCAGAGCCAGGGATACAGGCGTGCAGCTCCACAGTGTTAGCCAAGAGGTTATTGAATCCTTGGTTTAGCCATGTATGTGGAGAAGCACACAATTCTCCCACCCAAAACACAAACTGCCACACACTGAAAAAGCCAAAACTTGGATCAGATCTGGCTGCTGCTGCTAGGACTGGGTGGAAGAAGTGGAAGAAACAAGCAGTGGTCTGTCTAGTGATGCAAACTGGAAACTCCTCCTCCCAGCTACAAGCTTTACCTGAAAAATCGGAACATTTTGTGATGTGTTCCCAACATTTACATGTGGTCACATCAGCTGGGGCTTCTTATGCAGTATGTATGAATGTGGAGATGTTGAGTTTTATTAATGATGAATACTGCTGGTACTGCAGGCAGGGCAGGGTTGCATCAATAGCTAGCTATGGCAGGGCTGATGTAGAGAGATGGGATGCATCTGTTTCTTACCTGTCGGTGTAATGTGCGTCCCGGTGCTGCGGCAGACCCTGCTTGCGTCTCTGACTGGAAGAAGAGGAGCTGCCCGCTGAGGGCAGGTGAGCTTCTAAGGCTGCTGGATTCCTCACTGTTGCAGCCAGCGCCTCTTGGCGAGCACGGAGCATGTCTGTATGTGGAGAAAGGGGGGCAACAGTGAAGGAAGAGAAAGGAAGACAGAGTTGACATGACAAAGATGATCAAGCATTAATAGGCAAAGAGGAAAGATTCAAAGGAAACAAAGTAGGAGGGAGGGGAGAGAGGAGAGGATAAAAACAAATTTAATTTCCAGCTCCTCACATCTATGCTAAAAAACTTAGTGTGGAACTTTTTTTCCCT